TAGCAGAAGACGACAAAAAAAAATGTTTAAAATTATTATTCGAGGGTGAGATTTTAAGGGATGATGAATCGCATGCGTGACCAAAATTTTTTTTTTTTTTTTTTTTTTCCCGAAAAAATTCGTTTGACTATCATCATCATCATCATCATCACTTTTTTTCCTTTTTTCGTTTCTCTCTTTCTATCGTCACGTCACTTATCGGTGTCATATTTTTTATTAATGATTAAAATTCAAGGAAACCGAGTCTCACGGAGGTATTCTATTTACACGTTCGAATATGTCAGGTGTAATTAAAAATTTTTCGTATCGATTCGAACGTTGTTCGATTTTTTTCTTTTTTTACTCGCGGCGGCGGCGGCGGCGGCTTCCGAAATTGTCACTTTTAGTTAGTTTACATATCGCGTTTCCTTTAACCGACGGAAAGTGGATCACGTGACGTGTGACGTGTCGTAAACTTTTTTGCGTACGTGGACACTTGACGGGGGAAGGGGTGGGTACAGGTACCCATTAGAAACTTGGAAAATTTTTCTAAAATGATAATAATAATAATAATAATGTTTACGTTAACGTTCGTATCGACGGGTAAAAAAATTATTTTATTTTTGCACTTGTTTCCCCCCCTCCCCCCCAAAAAAATGCTTATTTACAAAAAAAAAAATTTTTTTTTTTCAATTTCCTTACGTCGATCGGTCGGTCATTGAGCAGATAACTGGTCTACTGACCTTGAAAATTTCGTGGAATTAAAACTTGCAAAAAAAAAAAAAAAAAAAAGGAAAAATAAAAAATAATTTTTTTTTTTTTTTTTTGTAATTTAGCGCCGCCAAGGCTAATGACACGTCATTCAAGTCCCAAAACCATAAAATTGGTCATAAAAATTTTTTTTTTTTTTTTTTTTTTTGACAAATAAAACAAATAAAAAAAAAAAAAGTGTAAATAAAATAAAACAATTTTTTTTTTTTTTGTTAATTCGTGTCACTAACGAGGAGTAAATTAATTTTTTAATTCCACGATTTTTATTTTTTAAAAAAAAAAAAAAAAGTGTCATTCGATAAAAAATATTTTATTTTATTTATTTTATCGGTAGAATCAAATCGTAATCTTTTTCGATCGTAACGGTTTTCCCCCTACCTCCCCCTTCCCCTCTACAAAAGCGAAAATTTTCAAGTTTTTTTAACGAACTCTAACCGTGAAAAAATGAACTAATCAAATTCAAATTTTAAAAAAAATTCGTTCCGGAACGTTTCGAACGTGTCGGCAAAGTGTTTTTTTTTTTTTTTTTTTTTTTTTTTTTAATTTTTAGCAAATTCGAATTTACCCCACCCCCCTTTTTCGATTGTTGTAAAAATTTCAGTGCCGTATTAAGGTCGTCATCCTTTCCTTCTTTATATTATTATTATTATTATTATTATTTGACATCGCAAAGGTGTCATCCGTCAATTTTGTCAACAACAATGTTTATGTTAATTACCAAATAAGAGTAAAACAGGAGGGGAAGGGAATGGAGGGGAGGGGAGGGGAAAAAAAAGCAGGTTCATTCGAAGCATTAAAAAAAAAAAAAAAAAAATTGGCATTAAAAACAAATGATACATAATAATAATAATAATAATAAGGCAGAACTCACTCACATGTTTAGCATATGTTGCATAAGAGTAAACGCCTCCTTAATCAAATTGTTACGCTCATGTTTAGATAACGTAAACGCGTAATCATTTTATTCATCGAACAATTTTTCTTTTTTATTTACGACTGTTAGGGTGTTTTTTTCTCTCTCTCTCTCTCTCTCTCTCTCTCTCTCTCTCTCTCTTCTACAAAACATTTTTTTCTTATGTAGTGTAGATATTTTCAGTTGGTTGGTAGTCGACATTATCGGAGTATGTGATAAGTGTTTGTTCGAGACAATTTCCTTCGCGTTTGTTTTCTTTTTTTTTTTTTACTGCCACATAAATTTTTGTTTGTTTGTTTTGTGTAATTACAAATTTGATAGGCATACGACGCTCACATATATATATTATTATTATTATTATTATTTAATTTCCGATCGTTATGATCATAATATGATAGCTACCACATGACCCATTTTTACGTCATCACGAAGATTCCAGTGAATTTTTTTTTTTTTTTTTTTTTTTTTTTTAACTGAAATTTTTTTTCGTTTTTTAATTAAACAAATTTTAAAAAACGTTGTTTTTACTAGTTATTATCATTATTATTTGTTCGGTTGTCGTTGCAATTGTCAAGTTGGTAACGCTGTTTGTTGTTTTAAATGACGATTCGTTTCTTTTTTTTTTTTTCATTTTCTTCCAATAAGTTCGTTAATTTAATGGAATTGATTTAAGGTTTTTTTTTTTTTTTTATCTCAACGTTGTCGAATTGGCAACAGTGGAATAATTAATTAAACGTTCGATAAGTAAATTCACGTGACGTAATTATCATCATCATCGTATTCGGTTTACTATTATTATTATTAATATTAATTTTTCTCTTAAAAAATTAAATTAATTTTTTCTTTTTTTTTTGTAATTTGAACGTTATCGTTTATCTTTCGTTTATGAAAAAATCATTCATTTAAAATTTTTTTCTCGTTTCGGGGTGTCGTTGGATTTGTTTTCTCTCTCTCTCTCTCTCTCTCTCTCATTAACGTTCCCATCGCATTCGCATTCGAATTTTCGATTTTTCAAATTTTCAAAATTTTTAACGGTTTTTCGTGTTTCGGTTTGTTTGTCAGTTTTTTTTTTTTTTACATCGGACGGATGACAAATTTTCAATCTTGATAATTATAATTTTTAACGGACGTTTTCGTTTGATATTAATAAACAAACACACACCGGAAAGAACATTTTGACATTTCTTTCGATTTAAAAAAATGATAACGGAAAACGATTGTTCGCCATTGGAAAATTTGATATTTAACGGAAAAAATTGGAAAATTTTCGATTCGAAAATGAAATAAATTTTAAAAATTATGTTTGTTTTTTCTCTCGCGGTTTTTTTTTAAATTAAAAAATAATTTTTCATTTCCCCCCCCTCTCAACGATGGTATTGTTTAAACATGTTCACGTCATGGATAAACTGTTGGTCGACGACCACGAGATTGTTCTTGTAGGTTTTTGTTTGTTTGTTTGTTTGTTTGTTCGTAAGCTTACACAATGTTTTTAAAATTTATTAATTTTTCAGGTGAAGCGGCCAAGAAGGGAACCAGAAACAGAATCGGAAACTGCAGAAAGGCGAAGGTATGAAACGAACATGTCTTCCTCCTTCCCATATTTACCGTAAAAAGATACTTGATTATTATTATTATTATTATTATCATCACCGTTAATGTTTTTCATCAATCGTGAATCAATTTTTTGTACTTGATACGTCATCACCGTGACGTTTAAGATCTTTTTCTCCAGTTATTATTATTATCATTACAGCAGCAGGTCGCTCGAAATCCAAGGTGACATTTCGAGTGGTCAATCCGATTCGTCGTGTTCGCCTCCGCTTGCCGATACCGGTCATACGGACGGTGATATGAACATAACGGCCATGTCCTCCGGTTCTGTTAAAAACGATCCAAACAGTTCTCCCGGACAAGATTTGTATTCGTCTCCGGGTCCTACGTCACTCTCCGATACGTGGACAGCATCCGTAGAATGTAACGGTAAGAAATGTTTTGTTTTTAGTTCTTATCGGTTGGCACAACCGCCGCCACTGCCACCTGCCGCCACACGCCGTCACTAACGTTATCATAACTTATTATGTTAAAAGAACGGAATGAAACTTTATTAACAATAACAACAACAACCACAACCATTTCCTTTTTTTTGTTTGTACATTACCAACAAACATTTCGAATTGTTTTTTTTTCTTAAAAAAAAAAAAAAAAAAGCTGGAGAATGTTTGTTGTATAAACATTTAAAAAATTATTTTTATTGCTTTTTTATATTCTTAAAACATAAGTTTGCATCCATCCACACTCACTCACACACACACACACTCTTTAAAAATAAAGTAAAAAAAAATGAAGAAGCCCTCGGGATATTTAAAAAAAAAAAAAAAGGTAAATTAAAAGGAAGTAATAATAATAATAATAATGGGGAACTTTAAAAAAAGTTTTCCTTTTCTTGGGGAGGGGGTAGAAGGGAAGGTGAGGGTGGATGGAATGAAATGGATGGAACCGCCTCGTTTGTTTAACGCAACTTTTAAGCTTTTTCTTCTTTTTTTTTTTAAGGTGTTAAAAGCGAAGTGAGAACTCCTTTGTTAGATGTTTCTAGCACTCCACAATCCGCCCTATATTCTTCCACCACGCCTGATGCTTTTGACAAGGAATACAGTCAGGCATATTCATCGGCTCATCAGTATTACAATAGGTTTGTTGTTGTTATGATTTTTTTTTTTTTTTCTCTCTCAAGTTGGCAATTCGAGGAAGGAAAAATAAGAGTAATTTTTTTTTTTTTACTTTTCAAGCGTACAACAAGCTTACAATAACCAAAGCTCAACGTTTATAAACACGGCGGCTAATTTGTACAATACTCAAGCATATGCTCAAGCTGCTCTCGAACACACGACGACATCCTACAGACAATTGACGCAATGCAAAAACACTTCGAGCACGTACATCAATCCGTACGGATCGTCGAGCGGGACGGCATTTTCGAGTGCGGCGGGAACGTCGACCGTTACGAGTTCCGTGCCCGGATACGGAACCTACGGGAGCTCTTATAATTACGGCGGTTCCGGTCAATCGTTTTCATCTTCTGCTCAGTCCGGATTGGACTACACGAATTACACGAATTCCTATCAGGGCGGTGGTTCTCTTACGTCACAATATGCCAACAATTATTACACGTCGACAACCGGTCAACCTGGAAACTACGGTTATACTAATAATCCGATATCACCGACCGCCGGCTACGGTCTTTCAACGTCCTCACTAACTCACACTCCGGCTTTATCAGGCAATGATAATGATAATGTTCATGATGATGATGATGATGATGATGATTTTAATTTGATTCATGTCTTATGTTCTCATAACGTTTACAGATAGTCCAGGAGGTTTTCCGTTAGCCGACACGGGTTCATTGTCTCCAATCAAAAATGATATTTTATCCGGGGGTAGAAGAAGAGAAAGTAGTTCCTCATTAACGGATGGTAAAGTTTCCCCCCCCCTTCCCCCCTCATACCTCCTAACTAAACCTTCCCGTAGTGAGTTTTGTTTTTTTTGTATCGAACGAACGTTTTGTCTTCTTTTTTTTTCAGGTTTAAGCAGGTGTAGTAGCAGAGGTAGGGGAAGACGACAAAACAATCCCTCGCCTACGAATCCCGATTCGAATCTCGAACGTGTTTTCATATGGGATTTAGATGAAACGATAATTATTTTCCTATCGATAATAGCGGATACTTTTGCACAGTGTTACGGAAAGGATCCCCAAATATTGAAAGGCGTCGCACTCAAAATGGAGAAAATAATGTTTACACTAGCGGATTCTCATTTTTTTTACAGTGACGTCGAGGTATGACAAAAAATGGCGATGGAGTAGCAACAACGGCAACAATTCGAGAGTTTGATTTGATTTGATTTTCTTGATTATAGAAATGCGATCAGGTACACATAGACGACGTGGCATCAGACGACAACGGTCAAGATTTATCAACGTATAATTTCTCATCGGACGGATTTCAATTCGTTCCCGGAAGTGGAAATAACGGAAACGTGTGCCTCGCGACCGGAGTCAGAGGCGGCGTGGATTGGATGAGAAAATTAGCTTTTAGATATAGGAAAATTAAAGATATGTACAATAACTACAGGAATAACGTCGGAGGTGATGTATATTTTTTTTTTTCCCCGGGGGGGGGAGGGGAGAGGAAGGAGACAAAATTACTGAACGTACCTTTTTTCGATTTAAAATTAAATAAATAGGTTTGCTGGGCCCTGCAAAACGTGAGGATTGGCTTCAGGTACGAAGCGAAATAGAAGTTGTCACCGATAATTGGTTGACACTCGCCATGAAATGTCTCACGTTGATCAATTCGAGGTCGAACTGCGTCAACATATTGGTGACGGATACGAAACTCGTGCTCGCCGTCGTCAAAGTTTTACTATTCGGACTCGGGGGTATATTCCCAATAGAAAACATATACTCATCTTCGAAAACAGGCGAGTTTGATTTTGAGTCCCCCAATTAAATGTTTTCCCAAATAATAATAATAATAATAATGATAATGATAAATAATTTAATTCGCAGACAAGGATAGTTGCTTTAATAGAATCGTCACGAGGTTTGGAAACAAATGCACTTACGTCGTTATCGGAGATGGTAACAAAGAAGAGAAAGCAGCCAAAGAGGTAACATAGTAACATTTGCCGATGATGAGAACAACAACATGTTTATTATCATTATTATTATTATCATTCTCATCTATTTTTTTTCCAGCTAAATTTTCCATTTTGGAGAATAAGAACTCATCACGATCTTGTATCACTTTACAATGCACTCGACATGGATTTCCTATAACGAGGCGCAACGAGGTGACTAAAATTGATTCATTATCAATATATATATATATAGGTATATATAAATCTTATCGCGGCGGGTGATAATAATAAACGAATAAATGTTTTTAAAAGTAAATAAATTAATTAATAATAATAATAATGATAATAATAAAGAAAATCTATACTGTATAAAAAAAAGAATGAATGAATGAATGAATGAATGAAAAAATTTATTTATTATTATTATTTTTTTTTTTAATTTCGACGACCCTCTTGCTATTTACGTCTTCATTCCTTTAATAACGAATTTCCCGCGACACGTTTGATTGATGATGATAATAATAATAAATTAATTTCCAGGTAATTAATTACCATTAAAACCATCTTTATCGAAAATTGAATATAGAAAACTAAACAAATAAAAAAAAGGGGAATCGAACGAACGAACGAACGACAACGAATTCTAGCGGTGAAATTAAGAAAACGGGCAATAGTTCTCCTTTTTACCGCCAGGTTTTTAAAAATTTTTATTATCACTTTATTATTATTATTATTGTTACTTTTGGTCACATCCCCGAAATGGCGGATAAAACTTGCAAATGATAAATTTCAAAAGGAAACCCGAAAAAAAAAATTCATTTAAGTATAAATGACTTATCGATAATTTTCAATTCGCCATTTTTATTTATTTCTCGTGACGTCACGTTAAAAACCACCGCCTTCAAAAAAAAAATTTATACGTCATTCGCGTAATGCAAAAAGTATAAGCAAAATTTCGAAGGCGTTACGTAAATAATACAAACGATATGGAGTGGCGAATAATAATTATTATTACGTAACATAACATAACATTTTTTTTTTTTTATTGTTTCGAGAATGAAACGAAACGAAACGAAAAGTAAGGATAAATCAATATATCGATCGATATATTATCGATAATTAAAAAAAAAAATCAAATCGATAAATCAAATCGATAAATCAAATCGATATAATTAAAATCGGGGGCCGTATACACTCATTCCTGCATTTGCCAATTATACGTATACGTATATGCATACCAGCAATTATTTTTTTGGCGTGAAAAAAAAAAAAAAAAAAAAAATTTTTTTACCTGAAGAAAAGTAATAATAATAATAATAAAATTTACGATACCGAAATAACGAAATGGTAATAATAATAATAATACTAATGACAAGGGCGGGGTTCGATAAAATCGTCAACTTCCCTTTCCCTCCCCCCCCCCACGCCAACTTTCAATTCTAAACATCCGCCGTCCCCCACCCGACGATTACCGATAATTAATAATAATAATAATAATAATAATAATAATAATGATAATCAATCTTCTGCCACGCGTACGATTTTCTTTTTTTTTTTTTTTTTTTGGAAAATTCTAATGCCACGACGCCGTTCGCGGCATTCTTCCGTAATAATCACTCGCGCGTGTGTGTGCGTGAGTGCATGCGTGCATTTATTATTTATTTATTTATTTACATAATATTGAATTTATTTCCTTCGCGGTGCGTGCGTAAGTGCGTGTGAGTGTGTGTGTGCGCGCGTGCGCGTGCACGCATCAATCTTTTCCCTTCACCTGATTTTGTAGCATCGACTTCATTACCCATTGACCGACTTTCCCTGATTTCACCTGCTTAAGATTTTCCATATAAAAAAATAGTAATAATAATAATAGTAGAGCTCATTTATATGCTCCTCGTATTTATCATTATCATTATTATCATAATAATAATAATAATAATAATAATTATTATTATTATTATTATTCAATTTCATTACCGTAACGTTTCGTGAGTTGTTGTTACTTATGTGTTCAATTATTACTCTACCGATTTGTATTTTATTACGTAATTCTTACTTATCGAACGAGGGGCCTCCTTGTTATTTATTTATTACCATTTTTCTTTTTTTCTAGTGACACGTTCGTTCGTTCGTTCTTTCGTTCGTTTTATAATAACATTTTCGTTTTTTTTTTTTTTTGTTCGCGTAAACATTTTTCATTACGATGGCGGGAAATTTGAAATTCGCACTCGCTCACTCACGATGATGATGATGATGATGGCGGTGGTCATGAAACCGGAAACCGGAAACGTTACACAAAACTCGTACGAAATTGACAAAGTTGTCGTTCAAGTCGATCGACAAACCGGACGCTCTTACGAAAAAAAAACAAGACTACTTACAAACAAACAAACAAACGGATAAACAAACGCTTCGGGTAATAAGAATGTGATAGCGATGTGTATACAATTATCCAGGAAATTGCATGGAAATGCTTACGATTTTTAACAGACCGGAAGTTGAGATTACAAATACTTAGCAATCGGGTAAAAGGTTGTTTGTTTGTTTGTTTCTTTAACTGGAAAACTTCAAAATAATAATAATGATAATAATTTTTAAATGAACGCACAACACATTCCATAACGATCCTCCAGATGAGGAAAATTACCTGGAAAAAAAAAAAAAAAAAAAACGGTCGCGTGCGAAGGACGTAATGATGATGATGATGATGATGATGATGATAATTAAACGGATCAACAAAAAACAAAAACATTAGCGGGTCAAATATTGACCGACTGACTCCAGTTTCCAGGCAGGCAAGGAAAGAAACGCGTTATTATCCAATAACCAATAATTATTATCATTATTTTCGTGGTTCCCGCTCCCTCCCTCCGCTCCTCTCCCCGCTTCCGTCCCCCCTCCTTTCATCTACTCTCCTAATTTAATTTCCTTTCTAAATTGATTTGTTCTTTTTTTTTTTTTTGGCGTTTTCGCCTACTACAAAAAAAAAAAAAAAAAAAAATTAAATCAGTCAATATCATCATTCATCTTTTGGATCGATTCGATGGATCGATCCATCGATCGATCGATTAACATTTCCATTAAGTTGGATAAAGTATCCACGAGTCGACGACCTTGGCATTTCACTTCATCCCGAGACTTTTTTTTATCGTTTCCGATCGATTTGATGATTGGATGTTTATGGTCGGACAGGACGGATGGATGAAGAGAGAGATAAAGACAGAGAGAGAGAGAGAGAAAATTAAACGACCGGGAAAAATATTGTCGCCAAATGGTCTGTGCCGATTATTATTAAAATCGAGATCTGGAATTCAGGACCGAATCTAGGAGGCGTGCGAAAGCAAAAAAAAAAAAAAAAAAAAAAATTTTCTCTACATTTTTTTTTGTTTTTTTGCAGTTGGCAATACTTATTCTTCGAAATCATTATCGAAATGTTAAAAATACCTTCGAGGTAATAAATAAAAATTAATTAAGTTTTTTTTTTTTTTTCTTAAAAAACGGAAATGTAAACATTTTTAAGTTTCGCCCCTGGGAATCATATTACTATAATGAATAGAGAGAGAGAGAGAGAGAATGAGAGAGAGAGAGAGAGATGTAACGTTTGAAGATGATTTTTTTTTTTTTTTTTTAAATAAATGCTGAAGTTCACGGACGAAACACGCGCAATATGTTTTGCCTTATGTTTGCCTTGAGGTAAAAAAAAAAAAAAAGAAATAAAAGAAAGAGGGGGGAGGTGAGGGGAGAGAAGAGGAGAGCCTGAATAAAGGCCCCGAACCTGGGCTCATCACATCTTCCTTGCCAACCTTGATTTTTTTCACCTTTTCTTAATCAGGTATTCATTTCGTGACTTCCACAAGTTGGAAACCTCCTCAAAGTTATCATCGACCTTGATAACTGATCCTCTTCCTTCCCAAAAAAAAAAATTTTTCCAATAAATCAACATTCCATCTATTTATCTATCTATCCTTTTTCCGACCGTTTATAATCATCATTATTATCATTTAACCCGATTTGATCTTGACTCTCTCTTCATAAAATTCACGGCCGTTTTGGATTTTCGTGGATGTTAACCGTGACAATAAGAGCACTAGTAGACGTTGCTCTCCCCTCCCCTCCCTTCTCCCCTTGTCTCGTGTCTTATTGTCTACGGTGACAACCTTGGACGTTTTATAATTCCCGCGCTTTTTTTTTTTTTTGAAATTCAAACAATAACGACGTACGATTATGGCACCGCGTGTTACGGTGAGTTTGGAATCAACAAACAAAAACTTTCATTTTACCGAGTAATCATCATCATCATCATCATCATCATCATCATCATCATTACCATCGTCTTAGACGTCGTCGTCGTAGGACGTCGTCATCATCGTCGTCTTAGTCGACGTAATTAAACTTTTCCAGTTTGCGTTTCCATCGTTACACTTTCTAATTCGAAATGATACTTTTAAAAATGTTTTAAACATATTAAAACTTTTCTTTTACGCTTCTTTACTTTTACGTTCATCTTTGTAAAGTTAAACGAAAAATTCTTTTTATTGCCTCTCTCTCCCTCTCTCTCTATCTCTATCTTTGTCTATCCCAATCTGTTTCTGTGCCTGTCCTGTCTCTATCTCTTTCTTTCTGTTCCTTTGTTTATCCTTTCTTTCTGGTCCTTCCTTTATCCTCTCCGTCTGTCTGTCTCCCGATCTGTTTCCATGTCTGTCCTCTCTTTCTCTTTTTTTTCTGCTCCTTCCTCTCTCTCCTCTCTCTGTCCTCTCTGGATTATCCTCTCTCTCTTTTTCTGTTTCTTTATTTATCCTCTCTGTCTGTCCAGTCTCTTTTTCTCTCTGTCTTCCGGTCCGTTTCTGTGCCTGTCCTGTCTCTCTTTCTCTTTGATCCTTTGTCTGCTTTCTTCCTCTATCTACCTCTCCCATCCTGTCCCTTTGTTTATCATCTCCCCTCCTCCTCCCTCTTTTTGCGTTCCTTTGTTTATCCTCTCTCTCTCTCTCTCTCTCTCTCTCTCTCTCTCTCATTAAATCCAAACGAATAATCATTGAATCAATTTCAAATTAATCAATTTGGCTAATACAACAACAACATCATCATCATCATCATCATCATCATCATCATCAGGTATTACTTTCAACTACGTTTTTTTCTTCTTCCCATAATTCGTGGAAGAAGATGGATGACGATTAAGAAAATTTACCCGAGCATTAAATT